GTCAGAAAAGAAAACTTTAAGGGGGTGTTTAAAAAAATTCTCGGAATATGTTTGCCGAAATTTTTGTGTCCGGATAAGTTACAAAAATGTGTTTGAGAAATTCTCGAAATATAGACTTTTTGAAGATGTTTTTATCTCCAAATAGTAAAAGGTGTTTCTCCATTCTTGGATTTAAAAAATACCACACTTCAAATGGCCATTTTTTTTTCATTGCCTAGTTCAAAACAAAAGTTATGGAAAAAATAATATACGGGTTTTTTATAACTTCAAGACATATCAAACATGGTTAATATATTTTACCTATCCCTACTTTCTCAACATTCCTATTAAATTCTCGATACCAAACACCCCCTTAGTTCCCGTAAATTGCACCAAATTATAAGACAATAAATTTCTCAGATCACATTAGCTGTATTTATTCAATAATTGTCATGTTGGATGCTAAGAAGAATCAAATAGTTCAGATATGTGTGTAAAGGTTAAGTATAAGCTAAAAGGAATGAGTTCAGGTGACAAATTCCTTGTTATGTACAATGGTAACATGTCACAAGGTTATACCTACACCTTCCGTAGAATATTGTAGTTGATTAAGATTAAGCTTATCTATGAAAGCAGCAGGTATTTCATTTGGTTACGCTTTTCCAATAATAAGCATGCAGGTATTTCATTGGGATTACAGTAATAATTAGAAAAGAAAAATACAAAAAACGTAGAAAACACCAAAAAAATTAAAAATTAAAAATTAAAAATTAAAAGATATTGGCATATAAACAATAGAATGAAATAATAATAACAATGAATGAAATATAATACGTGAGGATTGGAAGAGAGAAGATTCAGGTACCGTAAAGAGGCCGAGAAATTATCCGAATAGAAATCGACCCACTGAGCTGCCGAAGGCAGGGTTGTGAGGAAGCGAATGCGAATGCGTTTTGATGATTGATGAATTTAATGAATGTCAAAGAGATCGAACCACATCGATGGATATGGCGGTTGCAACTGGGGATGGTGCAACTGCCAGCTTGGGTTGCATGAGTCCCCTCGTTTGAGATGGGAAAAACATTCATTTTATATTCTCTCTTTTTTTCCCGTTCCCTCTATTCCACTTTGAAAACAATAAATGAAATTTTAAATTTTCAAAATAAGAAAATAATAATAATAATAATAAACGATTTTGTCGCGTAACATATAACCGTGAAGCGAAAACTAAGGAGATAAAAAGAATATACCAATTATATAATATAAAGAAATTGTTGCTTTGTGGGCAATTTTCCTTGGCCAATACGATTCTTACGATTATTTTCAATTTTCTCATAACAAAAGTCGAAAACAAATTTGTCTCACCTCACTTTCCCAGATTTTCTAGAAAAATCCTGGTACTTATCACCACCTCAGTCACCATTTCTCTTTGCATTTTTATTAGGCGTATGTGGTTGTGTAATTTCACAAATCACAACCTAGACAATTGAAATAATGAAAGAAAATATTTGAGTAATAAAAGTCTAAAACTTTTATAAATTTATAATTTTTATTATTCAGTTTGAAACTTTTATAAATCTATGATTTTTTTTTTGGTAAAAAAAACTAGGATTTTTATCTCTCAGTCCGTAACATTTAACAAAAAATGAGTAATTTAAAAAAAAAACATGATACTTTTAAAAAACATCAAAGAAAAACCATGAAGGGCTACATAGAGATTGATGGTCTGTTTGATTGTGTTTTAGTTTTTTTGTTCTTAAAACTGTTTTATAGAATAATTACGAAAACGGTTGGTTTTTATGTTTTTTTTTTGTTTTGAAAGTTAAAAAAAAAACAAAAACAAAAACAACTCAGACATGTTCTCTAAATTTGATTCTAAAAACTAAAAAATACTTACAGTTTTTAAATTTTTTTTACAAAACAGGACTTACTAAATGAATTTTTTTATTATTTTTGTTCTAAAAACTAAAAAACTATTTTAAAAAACAGTAAACGAGCATGAGACATTAGTCAATAAATCTGGAGTGTAAGTACAATATTTAAGGGCAAAAATAAATATTGTAAAAATAAATCTGTTTTTAATTTAAATCACAAACCAAATCTTTATTTATTTTTTTATATTAAATCACAAACCCAGAACTCAGAGGCTTCTGGGTTTAACCGCTCTTATAATACCATTCTTACAAATTTAAATTATGTTTGTGAGAAATAAAATATTTCAAATGAGATGTCATTGCTTAGATCTCGAAAAGTTACGTGGAATCAAAAAAAGAATTACCTGATTTGGATACCCTAGTCAAAAGTTATGGCCTTAATAAGTTTTACGATTAAATTGTTAATTTTTTTTTTGAAAAAAAAAAATGACACGTGTCAACACCTAATGAGTGACGCCTAAATTAGGCGTGATTGCCGGCTTGAGTGACGCCCAATTTAGGCGTGATATTGTGCAATGAATGTGTAATTATTTCCAAAACAGCCATAAATTCGTAATTTTTTATTTAAAAAACAATAAATTAATTTTTTTGCCCTTGATTAAGTTATACATCATTTTGATGTATTAAGGAGTTATGTTGTATAATATTATACTATATTCATACCAAACAACTTAAAATATCGTAATATATCATATAAGCTTATACTATCATGTCTTATATATCACACCAAACAAGCCCTTACTGTAAATCAATTCCTTAAGAGTTATTTACCCACATATCTGGTCTTCAGATTGGAACAATTACATTTGATTCAAAATTTGAAGACAAATTGGACAAATTATAAACTTACATCTGACTGGAGGCATATTGGAGGTTATTTGAATTTTGAATTTTGAATTTAAATGTAAAAGGAGTTGATTGCGAGCTGATTGTGTTTTGTATTTAATAGGAGCTGATTGCATTTGATTAGGAGTTGCCATTTTACGAGTTGGTTACAGATTGTAAAAATTCAAAATTCAAATAACCTCCAATAAGGCAGCACTGCGAAAACTATGGAGTTGTCACGTTAATACGTTGTTTAAATAATGGATAGTGAACCCATTGAAAAGGAAAGGAAATAATGGCAAACAAATTTTTTTATTTAGTAATATAAAAATAAATAAGAACTGAAAGAAATTTAAAGAGATCAATTCTTCTTAAATAAATAAACTTTATTTCCTTTAAAATTGAAGTAGAAAAGAGGAGATACAAATATATATTACAACAGAATAATATTTCTGCAGTTACTGCAGATAAGTTATCTGTATTTACTCTCAAAATGACGTTATTTTGGGATTGAAAGATTAAAAATTATAATTATAAAGACTATAATAACTTTGAAATAAATTAAAATTACAAAAATACTATGATTTATGTCCCAAAACGACGTCGTATTGGACTTATTGCAGATAACTTATCTGCAATGACTGCAGAAAAAGCGAACCCATATTATGATTAACGATAACAATAATTCCGTTCGTTTCTTTACTATTAAACTTTCAATTAATAATTAAATTTCGTTTGTTAGAAAATTAAAGGATAACCAAAAGAAATATAACAAATATAAAAAAGAAAATTATGATAAGATGAGAGTAGTATCTCTATTAAATTATATATTCAAGCTTTGTATATTAATTCTATTTATAGTTTTTCAGCCATCATGAATTAAATAATAAAATTTAATCATTCTAATTAAGCAAAATTAGAAGTTACACATTTGGTACCTTTCTAAGGATTACGGATATTGTATTAATAATATTTATAACGTTATTTCATTTTCTTATTATTTTTTATAAGGGAAAATTATTTGTCCTTTTAAAATATGTAAGGTTATATCATTTTAATTTAGGGGAAGATATACTAACCACAAAAAAAAAAAATTATCACTCTTACAATCAATTTAATCACGGTTGATTTTTGTCAATATAATGATTATAATTTATTGTGAATTAATAAATAATAAATAAGTGTGACACAATATTATTAATTTTCAATAAATTATAATTGTTAGACTGACGAAAATTAACGTTGATGATAAGTGCATCAGTTCCCTTTAATTTAAACTGCATCGTTTTACATAAAATATAGTTACTAATTTTCCCATGTTACGATTAAACTCTGGCGGATTAATTGATAAAAATCGAAAATCGAAAAAAAATCGCAAATTTTAATTGGATTGGATCGGTTTTCGGATTGATTGATAAAAATCGATACAATTCAAATCGATCCAATATATTAATTCTCCTCTACTTACTTGGGCTTTTCCCCAATCATAACAAAAAAATTTCTAAATCCAAGACCCATTAACCTATCAACTAAACTTAAGAAAAAGCCTAGTCACATCTCATCAACAAAAATTTATCTGTGTATTGCTTCATATCTCATTGCCCCACAAAAAAACAAATTATATTATCGTTTACTAATGTTTTTGTATTTAATTTTTTTTTTTTACAAAGTCAATATATAAAAGGATATTATTTGCACAATAATTATAAAACTAATTTTAGGATTTTCAAAAAATCAAAAATCGATCCGATCCAAACCGAAAAAATTGAATTGGATTGTATCGGATTTGAAAAAAAAATTCAAACCGAATGGATGATTACATGATCAAAGCGAAGAGATTTGATCAGATGATTTTTGCTCCAATCCAGATCGCGAACACCTATATGATATATCAAAAAAAAATTATTTTTTTTAAATGGTCGGTGCATTATAGGCTACCTAATCTCCTAAAATAAAAGCATGGTTGTAGAAAATTAAAAGTTTTGATTTATTTTAAAACGAAAAAACAAGTTTTAAAAGAGCCAATCTGAAGCAGAATCAGCATTTCAATCTTTTCTTTGTTTTGAAAACTAAAAACTGAATGACATCATTACAATTTCCCCTTATACACACCAATTGACCACAATTTACGTTTTAGGAATTAAAATAAAAAAGGAAACAAAAAAATAGAAAATCTCAGACAAGATTCTTAAAAAAAATATGTTCATCGAAATTAATACACCCGGAAAAAGAGGCACACAGACGCTATCACAGATAAGATAGAAGCATAAAACAAAAGAAAAAGATTTGGCGTGTTTTTGTTTCGATAGCCCTCATTAAGATCCTGTTTGACAGGAACAACAAAGCACACACTCACACTCACACCGCTGATTCATAAAAAACCTAGAGTTCAAAAAAAATCAAATCAAATCAAATCAGAATGTTAGCAATCAAGAGCAATTGTTGTTCTTGGTTTATTATTTTTGTTTTTCGATTATTAATATTCAAACAATTCAAGAGCAATCTTGAATCTTTTCAAATCCTTATAGATTTTTTTTATTTTTATCAAGATAGATTCAAAATTTGTTCAAGATCGAATCCTTATGCCTTCTCATTACGGCTTTTTGGTTCAAGAGAGAGAGGTATAAAGATAGAGTCCAAATTGATTCTTTGGCGAAACCCTAATTTCTTTTTCTTCTTCTTCTTCTTCCTCTCTAGCGGGTTCTGCGATTTTTAGGGTTTGTGAAGCAATGAGAAAAGTTTCGATCTTTGATTGGTTTTCGTCGATGGAGGGCGAGGCCGGTTCGGAGGGAGACAATAAGCGGAAAAGGGGTGGCGCAGATGATAACAGCAACGACAATAATGGAAGCAATAGCAAGATTGCGAATTCCAATGAGGGGCAGAGCAAGCCCAAGCGCCAGATGAAGACCCCCTTTCAGCTTCAAAATCTCGAGAAAGCTTATGCTTGTAAGTCACTTATGCTTACTCCTTCGTTCTTCAATTTCACAATTCTCAATTTTGTGTGTGTTTATTTGTTGGTTTTTTATTTGCAGTAATTTTTTTTTAATTGGAAGAATTTTTGTTTCTTTTTGGTTAATTTTGTGATTTTGTTTGGTTAGTGGATACTTATCCTTCGGAGGCGATGAGATTAGAGTTGTCGGAAAAGTTGGGGTTGTCGGATTGGCAACTGCAGATGTGGTTCTGTCATAGGAGGTTGAAGGAGTTTCCTCCCAAGAAACGGCTGCGGAAGGTGGCAGCAGAACCTTTGCCAGATTCCCCCACAGATGACATGAGGTTGGACCCTGAAATTGGCAATGAGTATGGATCCGGGTCGGGTTCGGAGGGAGACAATAAGCGGAAAAGGGGTGGCGCAGATGATAACAGCAACGACAATAATGGAAGCAATAGCAAGATTGCGAATTCCAATGCGGGGCAGAGCAAGCCCAAGCGCCAGATGAAGACCCCCTTTCAGCTTCAAAATCTCGAGAAAGCTTATGCTTGTTCGTCCCTTATGCTTACTCCTTCGTTCTTCAATTTCACAATTCTCAATTTTTTATGTGTTTATTTGTTGGTTTTTTATTTGCAGTAATTTTTTTTTAATTGGAAGAATTTTTGTTTCTTTTTGGTTAATTTTGTGATTTTGTTTGGTTAGTGGATATTTATCCTTCGGAGGCGATGAGATTAGAGTTGTCGGAAAAGTTGGGGTTGTCGGATTGGCAACTGCAGATGTGGTTGAAGGAGTTGCCTCTCAAGAAACGGCTGCGGAAGGTGGCAGCAGAGCCTTTGCCAGATTCCCCCACAGATGACATGAGGTTGGACCCTGAACTTGGCAATGAGTATGGATCCGGGTCGGGTTCGGGGTCCAGCGCGCTTACCCGTTCTGAGTCCCGGAATGCGATGCCCCAGGGCTTGCCGGGTTATTATGAGTCCCCTCAGGCTGGAATGGAGCGTAGAGCAATTGCTTCTGTGGAGGCACAGTTAGGGGAGCCGTTGAGGGAAGATGGACCCATTCTAGGAGTAGAGTTTGACCCATTGCCACCAGATGCATTTGGGGCACCCGTAGGTATAATCATAGAACTTGTGTTCCTATTATCTTCACTTATTGGGTTAACTGATTGTTGCAGTTTCTTTAATATGTTTTGTTGTACATTTTGTAACTCCTAAATTACCTTGGCATGCCTGAATTGTTTATCTTCCTTGCATTTTTCATCTACTCAGGCATCATGAAAATGTTATTGACTGTAGTTGCTCTATCTGGCATAGATATGTTTTCTATTTCATTTGGATAAATTTTCTTTTAGAGTGAAGAGAGAATGAAGAAAGAGATGGAGAGACAAGATCGTGAAAGGAGGAAGGAAGAAGAGAGGTTGATGCGTGAGAGACAACGTGAAGAGGAAAGAACAAAATGTGAGCAAAAACTTGAAATTGAACGAAGGGAAAAGCATTTGCTGAAGGAAAATTTAAGAGTAAATTTGTAAGCCTAATGATGATAGCCTTCTTTTGGCTAATATTTAGACATCTGATGATTTTTTTTTTCTTTTGGTATATTGAGGATATTTAATGTATTTGCCACATATTCTATCTTAAAAGGGCTCAGAAATTGAGGCAAAAAGAAGAGCTTCGCAAAGAAAAAGAGGCAGAGAGAAGGAAAGCTGCCCTTGAGAAGGCAACTGCCCGTAGAATGTAGGTGTATGCTTGTATGAGATAGTTAAGGTTGTCTAAGTTTGGTAAACATGGGTCTTTCCTTAGTTTGATATTTTATCTAGTCATGATATTGCATTAAAAAATGCTTTTAGTGTGTGGAGCTTGTTTGTTGAATCAGCACTTCTGTGGATGTACTAATTTCCTGTCTGCATATTGCTTTATCAGTTTTATTCTTAGTTTAGTCGTAACATGTGTGGCTGGAAATTTTTCATGCTAATCTAAAGAAAATTAGTCATCTAACTTGCTTTGCTTTCCTGCAGAAGCTTCCTTCAAGATATAATCCCTTCAAATCTCCTAAAGTGGTTGAACCAGAACCAGCAGATTCGGACCATGATGATTTAATGAAAGTTAAATCTGCTCCTATGAAAATTGCACGGAGCAGCAATAAACGTGGACGAGGGAGTCATGATAAAGGACGGGGTAAAAAGCGATCTAAAAGGGCTGCTGACATCAGTAACAGTGCTGAAGAGGCTGAATCTGATGATAATGCTCAAGCAATGGAATCTGATGACAATGATCAAGCAGTGGAATATGATCAAGGAAACTGGGAGATTTGTTTTAACGTTTCCCCCATCAGATGGAGTAGGCATTTGATTGATATGAGTGGTGGAGATGTGGAAGCTTCTGAAGATGACAATGACAATGGCATTGAAGAGGAGGATTCAAAGGCAGATGTTATGAGCGAGGGTTCAGATGGTATGGCTAGTAGAGTTGTAAATGGAGCAGGCTCAGACTCGGCTGATTCTGAAGATTCTTCTGATTAGAACATTGGTTTTTAGTTGATCAACTAAAGGATTGCATTTCAAAGCTGCATTACATTTTTGATATTGCAGCTTTACAAAGTACCTGAACTCCTAGTCATGTCATGGCTTGAAGAGTTTTATGGTTGAGAAGACTTACATAGTATATTTTATCCATGCAGAGTGGATCCTTGTGTTTTTAAGCATTTTAAAGCCGAGGGCCTCATCTCATTTTGTTTTTTTCCTTGTCATAGGTATTCATTAATTAATAGAGTCTTATACCTTAATTATTACTTCATTGCGCACAAAGTCGATTACTGATATAATTGTCCATTTGACTTTCCTTACTCTATTTACAATTTAACAATTCTGCATAGCTCTTTTAATTAAATGCTTGGTTGAGAGGTTCTTTCTTTAGTTATTTGATTTGTTTACAATTTTTTTTTACAAATTACATTAAGTATGATTGGTTATACACTCTTAATTGAAGTATGACCGGTCATACCTAGTGTAGTTTGTAAAAATTTGTAAACAAAAAGTTTATAAATATAACATTCTCCTTATTATATTAAGCATGAAAGTTAAAATATTATTATTAGAAAAACAATATCAATGGCTGCAACAAAGAAATATACAACTCAAATAATATTAAAAAAAAAGATTATTAAAATAAAAAACACATAAACCTTATTTAGAGGGGAAAAGTATTAGATTTTATTTTATAGATATGAAAGCAGTAATTATTTAAATAAATAACCGCTTTTATACAAGTAATAATTATAAAGTTTTCTTTTTATGTTTCTCAATGAAAAAAACAAACAACTGAATAGCAAACAATAATCATTCGCGAAATTCTTGTTCACTCCATTAATTTAATATAAAACTTTATACATAATTATTAGTGTTCACCGAAAAGAAGTGACCACTCAACCAAAAGCATAGTCAATCATGATTTTTTTTCATAATGTCATGTAACTTTACAGAAAAAACGTTATTTATTACTAATTTAGGGTTAGCAAAACGGGTCAACCCGGCTCGACCCGGCCCAATCCGCATGCAACTCGAAAAAACGAGCAGGGTTAGGGTTGACTCACAAAAAAATCGAGTCAGAAAATCCAACCTAACCCGACCCGAGTCGGGTTAGGATTGACTCGCGGGTTGGCTCAAACAAATGGCTCATAGGTTGGCTTAAAAAAATAGCTCGCGAGTTGGCTCGAAAATTGCTCGCGGGTTGGCTCGTTTTCAACCTATTCAAATGAACATGTAGTATTAATGCACCAACTATGTGGCTTTCATCAGCTTAAACAAAGGGTTACAAAATGAGAAATAAAAGCAAAATATTCTAGTTTCGAATTTTTTTCATAACAAATTTGCACAACATCAAGAAACAATCAGAACCACTTGCTACCAAGTGGGTAAGATATTTGAACCAAACAGAGCCAGCATAGCCTAACAATATAAAAATGCCAGGGATATGAGAAGATTAGGGACATAGGTTTAGAGAAGGTAGAAAGACGAAGACAGCATGTGTGGGTTTTGTCCATTTTTGTATATTATATTTTTTATTTTTTTATTAAAAAAAAACTCAACCCGTGAGCTGGCTCGTTTGACCCGCAGGTTGGCTCGTTTTTTCCCGAGCTAGCTCGGGTCAGGTTGGCAGCTCATTTTTGCCAACCCAACCCGGCTCATTTTTGACGGGTTACGAGCCAACCCGACGGATTGGCTCGTTTTTGCCAACCCTAATTACTATTAGTCACTCAATGAAAATAAATGGCTTACCAATAGCAGAATAACTGAATAAGTCATTTGCAAATCATTTTAACTTTGTAAATACATATAAAACTTCATTTATAACTCTTAACTATGTAGTGCAACAAATAATCACAGAACAAATCATTCCTACAAATTTATTCTTAGTGGTGTAAATAAGCTGAGTCGAGTCAAGCTTTAACTTAAATGAGCCAAGCCTATGAAAAATATTTTGAGCTTGGCTTGGCTTATTTGCTTGGTATAAGCTAAATTCTAGACTTGGTTTGGATTGTTTATAAAAAATTAAGGGCTTGGCTTGGCTTGGCTCATTTATAATTATAAAATATATTTTTTCCAAACTCACATACGTTCAAATGTTGAGACTATAAATGCATCAAATTCTATATTCCTTCGTCAGAGAAAAAATAATCATAGAACCCACTCAATCCACATATATTTTAATAATGAATTCCGCAATTTCTTCTTAAACATTGATACAGCTCGTGAAATAGAGAATGTGGGGGGAGAATATTTTAAGAAAAGTATGTAATATAGACTAACCTTTAAAAATTTCCAGTGATATCAATTTGTAATATTAAAAAAAAACAGTTACTATGACTGACCTTATTAAAATAACCAAACAAACTGGACAAACAATTGAATCGCATCTCATGTCACCAACATTCTCATCCTCAAATTGGAACAAAGAGGTTAACAATCAATATCCACTGACAACGCCTAACCAAAGAAAAGAAAAATTACATATTAGCACTACTACCAATCCTCATGCTACTCCAAGGAAACTTAGCACTTATTCCAAAGTCCATCGACACTTTCATATGTGCAATTTGATGTAAAAATAGGATTAATAATTTAGTGACATAAAAATATATTGTTTATTATAATAATATATCGGGGTAGTTCACGGGCTTTCAAGTCAACCTCGTTAAATTAGGATTGAGCTTGTTTGCTAAACAAGCTTTTTTTAAAGTTTAAGCTCGTTCTATTTATTAAACAAGTCAGACCAAGACAAGCTTAAAGCAAGCCAAGCGTCAGGCCCTTGACAAGCTTCTGCTCATTTACACCCCTATTTATTCCTAACTTAATGTATTGAATCATAGGAGATAAAGTTATATCGTGCAACCTCAAAATGACATTATTTTGGGGTTTAGGAATAAAAATAAATAATATTTTAATAAAATTTATGATAAAAGAAAAAATAAAATTTATAAAATACCCTTTATTTTTAATACTAAAGCCCAAAATGACATCATTTTAGAGTTGCAATAAATAATTTTATCTCGCTTATCAAAAAATATAATAATTTTATCTCTTGTTTATAGGAGAAACACTTTTTTCCTTCAATATAGTATTTTACTTAGTATTAAATAATTATTAGTGAAAACAAATAGACACTATTAGCATTCAATAGTCCTTCTTTCTTAAAAAAAATATGTGACTTTTTTTTGACGATTTGAATATTTATATCTATTAAAACTAAATATTCATTCTTAGCGTAACTTTATATTAATTTTCCCTTATTAATTAGTACATGTTTTTTATATATAAATAATATATTCAAAGAATTGGTATACGTAAAAAAAAAAAAAAAATTTGTGTGCATACTGCACACTATAAATCACACATGTTAGGAGGAATTCTCTGGCAAATATAAATATAGTTCTGGTTAAAGATATCAATTTAGGTCTATCTCAATCATTCAAACTAGCTATAAGTCAAGCCAAATAACCGGTAAAGTTTTAGGGTCAGCAAGTATCATTTTAGAATTGGACAATAATTACTTTAACTCAACACAAATTATAAACTATTTCAACTTATTCACATTTATTTTATTTAGTTAAATATACGATTAGAATTTTTTAAAAAGTTATTGATTAAATGCGTATGTTTTGTCGAGGTATTGACACATTTTAACACTGCCCGTTTTTTTATGTCTAAGGGCATATTTTTACTGATACAGGAATAGGTACTTCTTTATTAAAAATAAGAAGAAAAAATATAACTCAAATGTCATTAATCATAAAACTAAGTGTAATGATTATTTTCTAATTTTAGCAAGGATGTACGGAGTATTCAGTAATACGAGAGCAATGAAGATATTTTGAGGAAACAAGAAGTTACTTAGAAAACTTATATAATATAAAGGTTTTATAAGAGTTATGTTGTAGGAAAAGTGATTGTGTAATGTTATAGAGATTCGTTTTGCGTGCCATAATTTTTTTTTTCTTTTTTCTTCAAAAAGTGTGGGCCCCACAAAATGTTGTGTGTGTAGGAAAGTTTGTTGTGTCATTTTAAATGACAAATGCAAACCCCATAATATAATTGTTTTAGATATATTATCCAACTTAGGCCCACTAAGCATTGGGGTCAACAATTAATGGGAAAACCTTGAGAGACATTTGATAGAAGATAATTTTTTTTTTATCCAGAAATTACGATTTTAAAAAATATGGTAAAAAGTGAATTTTTGGGGAATGTTACCAAAAATTTATTTTATAGGCCAAAATATTCTCGAAAATATTGGGTTAATTTTCCTGATATTATGTTTAGTTATTTTTGTCTGAAAAATTAATTTGTATATTTCCATCGTCTGGGGTTTCTGGAATATCACCTTCTAGATGGTATTTTCGATGGTATTTTTGTTTAAAAAGTACACACAAAACTGAATTCTGGAAAATTAACTTTTCGGGAAAAAATTTCTCCAATGTGGAACCAAACATGATATTCTAGGAAACTCACCCTCACTTTCCCAGGAATCTAAATATAATCCTCCTACTAAAAACCTCCCAGTGCCTGTTCGGAAAGTCTTTCTTTTTAGCTTCTCTTCTTGTAAGCAGAAGTTGGGGCAAACAGGTTTTTACAAAAGCTCTAATAATAAAAAGATCTTTTTCTTATAATGAAGAAAAAAGTCAATAGCTCCTAGGAGGATCTTTTTTTAAGTTGTATCAGCTTATTTTTAATTTGAACTTTTAAGTAACATTTAAGCTAAAAAATGTATATAATCATCAAATAATTTTCAGCTTTATTTTTAAAGCTCTTTAACTTTAACTTAAAAGTAGCTTTTAGCATAAAAAAATAAGTACTAATTAGACTCTAAGCCTTTTTAAACTCATGACAACCACCATATAAAAGAGGGGTCTACATCCTCACACCGAGATAAGAAATACAATTAGGTATGGTAGGACTCACACATTGTCTAGTTTTGATGATAAAAAATAAATGAAATCAAGTTATCTAACAATTTGTTTAATCTTTTAAAGTTTGTTGCTATATTTTAATTTGTGATAAATTATGAACATCAAAATTGTTATGAAATCATGAAGATTGAGATTGCAAGATAAATTCTTACAAGAGTGAAGCAGTGAATCTGTTCCTTTTGCTAAACTGTTTTAACCACCACCCTGTTGTCTCTTGATTATAGTTATTTCTGTTTTAGTAGTTTTTATTTTATTTTATTTAGTACTTATAAAAACTCCAATGATTATTATCTCACCTTCTTCTAAACAGGAAGGATCACATACATAACGCAGCGAGCAACTGTTTGCCATCAGATCGAACCTACTGTTCATGAGGAACGTTGTCAAGACAGTAGGGAACGTT